AATTTTTAGAAGGTCCCATTCATCTAGTTTCTCTTCTGCTATTTGTGCATTTTGGGTTATGCTTGATAGTCTATTTATGCCATATATTAGGGCCCCCAAATTTGCCTGTAGTTTTTCCTTGAGGAAGTCTATAGTTTTAGGTTTCACATTTAAGTCTTTGTTAGATAAATAATGTCAGTGTCAGTTGGAAGAAGCACAGTGTCAACATACAGATGCAGCACGATGTGCTGAGAAGATACAAGAAAACTTGAAAAAGTCTAATTTAAAGCTGTATAGAAAATAACGTCAGTATTTATAAGACAAATAAGCAATGTAATGTAATTATATCAGTTATAATAAACCAAGAAAAAATGGGCATACAGATTAGTAGAGGCTAATCTTGCAGGAGCTCTGGTGGCATAGTGCCTAAGGCATTTGACTGCTAACCAGAAGGCTAGTGGTTCAAACCCACTAGCTACTCTCCAGAAGGGAGGTTGGGCAATCTACTTCTGTAGAAATACCGCTTCGTAAACCCAAGGAGCGGTCGCTATGAGTCAGATCCGTCTCCACGGCAGTGGTTGTGTTTGTGTTTTTTGTTATCTTGCACAGATACTAGTGATACAAAGTACCCGCAATCCTTATAGAAACAACCGAAGAAAGGCATAGAATAATCCCTCACAGACAGCTAAACACTGTGGGAGAGAGATCCAACGGATCTACCAACTCAGGACCATAGTATTGGGGGACACCAGACTCAGTGGGCAAAATAAAAAACATAAAAGTTTTGTTCCTCATCCTACATTGGTGAGTAGCGACTGGGATCTTAAAAGCTTTCATGCGGCCATCTAAGATGCAGCTAGTGGTTGCCTATCATCGGAAATGAAGAAGAGTGCAAAAAAACAAGGGCATTTGGAAGCAATCAGCCCTAGGACATGATGCCTTCAAGACCAGAAGAACTATATTGTGCCTGGCTACCAATGCCAACCACTCCAGAAAGGATCAAATCTGGAGATCCTGGATAGAGTGGGAGGAAAAACGTGGAACAAAATCCAAAATCTCAGTAATCATAAGAATTACTGGTCAGAAAGTGTCTGGTGAGACCCCCAATACTATGGTCCTGGGATACATTCTGGGACTGGAATAAAACTCACTCCCAGGAACTGGCTCTCAGCCCAATAGTAAATAAGATGTACATGCAGACCACTCAACCCATATTAACACACCCACATACTCTATGGAAATACATCCCTTGGAGCAATTGACCCCAGGGTACTAGAGGGGCAACATTTGTGGAGGAAATACAGGGCACACAGGAGTGCATAACTATGAGGGGCATGGGTGGGCATGGGGGGGTTTACTGGGCAGGGAGGGGAGGAGACTGAGTTAGGGTTGGGGATGGTATATGGGGAGTGAAACTAATGACATGTAATGTTGAATGTAAAACTCTTAAAATAAATTTTTTTTAAAAAATAAGTATTCTGCACTTAGATTTCATGTATTTTATAGTTGAAAAAGGAGATTCACATATTCATATTATTCAGGCATACTAAAAAGTTTTCCAGTAACTGAATTGGGTATCACTTTTTAATTAATTTTAAAAAATTAGTTTCTCAGTCTCCCTAGCCATGTTTCCAGTGCTCAATAGCCACATGTGCCTACTGGCTACTGTATTGGACAGTGCAGAACCAGAGATTCTGTTTCCATGCCCTGATCCTTGGGAGTGATAAATTTAGTGCTTTACAGTATTTCCTTCTCCATTTATTCATTCAAATATATGTTAAATTCTTATTTTAGTACAAGATCTCCCAGTATATAACCATAGAGGTCATATTCAATTCTCTTTGTATGGAAGACAGTGTTTTGCCTTTATTTCCATGTCTGAAACTCTTTTCCTGACAACATATTATAACATTTTGACAGTACCCATGCTTGCTAAGTCCTTTTCCTTCTCTATAGGGTGGTAGTTAGACAAATATCCCCCTTATCACAGATTTATTAGTGTCTCATGTTTATTTCTCATTCCAAGCTTCAGAACTTCATCTATCATTCTAATTGGAATGGTTAATACACACCACATCACTAGTTAATTTATTTTCTTAAAAAATCCACTCTTTATACCTGAACTAATTAAACAGGATGACTTAAATCACTTACTGATGAAAATTAAAGACTATAGTCAGCAGTATGGATTACTCCTCAATATAAAGAAAACAAAAATCCTCACAACTGGTCCAATAAACAGCTTCATGGTGGATGAAGAAAAGATTGAAGTTGTCAAGGGCTTCATATTACTTGGTTCTACAATCAACACCAATAGAAGCAGCAGTCAAGACATCAGACGACGTATTGCAATAGGCAAATCTGCTACAAAGAACCTCTTTCAAGTGATGAGGAGCAAGGATGTCTCCTTGAAGACTAAGGTGCGCCTAACCCAACCCATGGTATTTTCAGTCGCCTCTTATGTATGTGAGAGCTGGATAATGAATAAGGAAGACCGAAGAAGAGTTGATGCTTTTGAGTTGTGGTGTTGGAGAAGAATGCTGAGAGCACCATGGTCTGCTAAAAGGACTAACAAATCTGTCCTGGAGGAAGTGCAGCCAGATCCATCTTGGAAGTGAGAATGGCCAGACTTCATCTCACCTACTTTGGTCATGTCATCAGAAGGAACCATTCCCTGGAGAAGAGTATCATGCTTGGTAAAGTGGAGGGTCAACAAAGAAGAGAAAGGCCCTCAGTGAGATGGATAGACACAGTGGCTGCAACAATGGGCTCAGGTATAGCAAGGATCATGAGGCTGGTGCAGGATGGGGCAGTGTTTCATTCTGCTGTGCGTAGAGTCGCTATGAGTCAAAGACGACTTGATGGCACCTAACAACAACACAACAACTGAACAGTCATATTGCTTGGTATGCCATACGGAATCACCACAAAGTTCTTCTAAAAATCCTGCCCACCCCTCATACTTCCATCTTGATACATCCTTTAAATATAAAATTTCTTTGCTGAAATGATGGGTCTCTCCTCGTCCAGAACGAAGAAGAATGAAGAAAACCAAAATTCATGGAAACAATTAGTCCTAGCAACTGGTACAGCATCTGATCTGCAGCCTATATGACTAGGAGACCAGAAGAACTAGATGGTGGCCAGCTACCACTGTCATCCACTTGGAAGGGGATCTATTTAGGAGATCCTTGATAGAGAGGGAGTACAATGTCTAACAAAACTCAAAATCATTTGGAGAAAAAAAAAGGGGGGGACCAGGTTTGCTGGTCCGATAGAACCTGGTGGAACCACTGAGACTATGGCCCCTAACTGCCCTTCAGGTCTGGAATTGAACCAACACCCGTGATTTCCAGCCAAACAAAAGACAGGCATATGAGTTGAACATTTACCTCAGGTAGATACGCTCCTTGGAGAGAACAATCATGGGAGAAAGAAGGGCTGCTTATGCACAGGGAGACAGCTCAGGGGGCAGGAGTGCATGGAGGGATGGACATTGGGAAGAGGTAACTATGAGGAGGAAGTGGGAGGGGAGCTGTTGCATTGTGGTAAACTGTGGTCAGTGTCATTAGACAAAGTGTATGTGAACTGATGTATGGGAAGTAAAATTGCTCTGTAAATCTTCACCCAAATCACAATAAAAAAAAAAAAAAGAAATTTATTTGCTGAATTAAAGCTCATAGCAACTGCTTACTTCTGGGTGTTTCAGTCAATTTACGTATATTGTTGAGTTTCATCTCAATTCATTTGACAGTTATGATCCCTATCATATAATTTAATACCAGCTGTTAATATCTTGTGAATTGGGAGCATACAGCTCTATTATTCTTAAAAGATTTCTTCCATTCTTTTTCCTTTTTAAATCTTCTTTGTGTCTGCTCTGGGCCTGAAGCTCTCTGAATGTTAAGAATTGACACACCAAGAGTGGCTTTATCTCCCCCGCTTCCTTGTCAATTTGTTAGTTCTTTCATATGCAGCCCCAGGTTATCTTCTTCCTCCCTCTCTTTCTCTCTTTTGGGCTTTCTCTTGCTGCTCCAGCAGGCACACTCTCCTGGCCATATCTAGAAGAAGAAAGTTCAGATTTTTGCTTATTTCAGCTCTCCTGGGTCTGCTAACTTTATTGCTTCTTCTTGTTTCTCTTCCTCCACTCTTTACCAGTGGGTGTACTTATGCTGGACTTGCCTTGTGCAATTTCTTTTTCCCTTTCATCTGCCTGTTTGAATTGCTGCTTTATTTATGACTCTCTATTCTGTTATCCTTGACAGCCATATTTATAATTTCTCAGTCTGCATCTCTTAAGTAGGTATTTATTTGAGCTTGACAGCAACTCCATAATGATATCAAAAGCCCAGTCTGTAATGAGAAACTCTAGAAGGGAGTTTAACTTAGCTATGATCATATAACATAGCCAGCAGCAGTATCTAGCTGAACACTCTTTCTTCATTATTACTGTCTCTTCTACATCAGACTTCATTCCAAAATCAACAGCTTAATTTGAGATAGAGCTAAAAAATTCTCAACTAATTATATTATGTACTATGAATAGCTTTCTTACTCATTCTTGACTAGCTACACTGTGTAATGGCTTGATCTCTTCTGTACTCTAATCTACGTGTAAATAAAAATATGCATGTGTACATGCATGTGTGTTCTCATACATACGAATACACATACACACACAGATGTATCATATGCCCTCTGTGGTGGTGTTTTTCATGTATAAAATATAAAATGTTTTTTCCAGGCTCATATTCTACTTGACTGTGGTGAAGACAATGTTTGTAAACCCAAGCTGAAAGTTTCTGTAGATAGGTAAGTTTTGCTCCAAATAATGAATACTATAATAATGATCTTCAGTAAGAAATTTACATGGAAGAGCAAAATTTTTCTATTCAAAGTACTAATATATTTTAATGAGAATTAATTATATTGGAGGACAATGCAGGATGATATATGACTAAAACTATCAATAGTGTTAATATTTTGTTAATATCAAAAATATCCTGTGTTTTCAGTAGTAACTTTGATAGATCTGTTTTCCTCATCATTGTGCTGTGCCACAAAGTAACATTATATCCTCTAAAAAGAACACTTTATTATTGACGTACTCTTATACTCAATGGGATACTACCATTTTATATCATATATAAATTAAAAAGACCTGTGAAAATCACTGCAAATGATTACTTTAACTTTTTATTTTTTTAAAAAATCATGGAATTAATAAGTATATACAAATAAATATAACATTATTTCAGTAACAGATATGTGACCAATGTGATACACTCAGTGGCATCAATGTTTTCTTTTATTGAGCAAAGCACTGGATTTCCATGCTATTTCTAGTTTTCTATTGAGCTGTGAAGTAGTCTTAAAATATCTCGAGACAGTATTGAATGTGTTAGTACTATCTTTGTATTTATTTCTCATCTCTTTGAACATTCATGCTCTCCCCATGCAGTCTTTTTTAACTGTCTAGATTTGTTTTAATATGTAGTGATCAAAAGAAGATCTATATTGGAGACGACAACCCTCTGACACTGATTGTTAAGGCTCAGAATCGAGGAGAAGGTGCCTATGAAGCTGAGCTCATTGTTTCCATTCCACCGCAAGCTGATTTCATTGGGGTTGTCCGCAACAGTGAAGTAAGGAAGCCAATTCTTTAAAGATCAAAATGCACTTGTAGGCTTTGTTAATATTAATGAGATGTTCCTCTATTTAGTGAAGCACTAGCTTAGCCATTCTATCTAAAGCTAAATTACTAGACAATAGAGTGCCTATCTTACATAATTCCTTGTAAGCCTAATGTTTTGCATAATGCGTTGATGTAACATTTTTACAATTGCTGGGTAAGTGCCTTAAAACAAGGTCAGATAATGAAGTGTTTAAGCCTTTCCATCAAATTATTTGTCAGAGGTAGTGTGGTTATGTATCTAAGTCTTCTCAAGATCTCTCGGAAACACATTTGTACATGGCAGTTGTACACAGTTGAGGCTTTTCCCTCTCTACATTGCCTCAAATAGATGTATTTGCTTTGTGAAACCAAAATCTTGAATTTTCATTACTTGATATTGCCCAGGAACTTTATAGTCTTGTGATTTTTGCTTTTTTCTCCCATCAATAATTTATTTCTTTAGCATCCTTTTCTTTGTCTATCACAGGCCTTAGCAAGACTTTCCTGTGCATTTAAAACAGAAAACCAAACCCGCCAGGTGGTATGTGACCTTGGAAATCCAATGAAGGCTGGAACTCAAGTAAGTCATTTTAATTAAATTTTCTTTTTCCTTTAAAGAGAATAATGCAAATTTCTCTGGGTTTGTCCATAGTAATTTTTTATAAACACTTCAAATTGATATCATTAAGTTGGTTTTAATTAAGAATTCTTAGATAAGCAGAGTTTCATTTAGTTTTCATAAAGATACTAAAATAATAGATTGTACTGTTACACTGTGTTTATCAAACTGCTCTTTACTCTCCCTTCAGTTTGATAGATGGATAAGAACATGGTTAAAACTAAGAATTGAAATGATCATTTTGATATTTTAAACTGTTGCTTTTTTACATTGATCCTAAAAAAGCAACTCTGGAAAATACTCAGATACTCTTGACTGGAAGAGTTATCCCATTAATTTGAAACACTGTGTGCTCCCAAACAGAGAATCAAAGAAAAACTTGGTGTATGAAGAAAACTATAAAAGACTACTTCAAAAAACCATAAGTGGAAGAATATACCATGCTTGTGGATAGGAAGATTGAAAACTGTGAAAATGTCAATTCCACCCAAAGCAATCTGTGCATTCAATGCAATCCCAATCCAGATCCCATCAACATTCTTTAAGGATATGGAAAAACCAATCACTAACTTTATATGGAAAGGAAAGAGACCTTGGATAAGCAAAGCACTATTAAAGAAGAAGAAGAAAGTAGGAGGTCTCACACTGCCAGATCTCAAAACCTGCAATGCAGCCACAGTTGTCAAAACTGCCTGGTATTGGTTTAATGACAGATACATAGACCAATGGAATAGAATCGAGAACCCAGAAATAGATCCATCGACCTATGGTCAGCTGATCTTTGACAAAGGGCTGAAATCCATTAAATGGGGAAGAGAATGCTTAATTTTAAGCATTTAATAAATGGCGCTGGCAAAACTGGATATCCATTTGCATAAAAATGAAACAAGATCAGTACCTCACACAATACACAAAAACTACTAGCTCCAGATGGATCAAAGACTTAAATGTAAAACCTAAAACTATAAAGTTCCTCAAGGAAAATATAGGGGCAAATTTAGGGGCCCTAATATATGGCATAGATAGACTATTAAGTATAACCTCAAATACACAAACAGCAGTGGAAGAGACTGGATGAATGGGACCTTCTAAAAATTAAATTTTTATGTGCTTCCAAAGACTTCTCCAAAAGAGTCAAAAGAGAACCTACAGAAAGGGAAAAAATATTCAGCAATGACATATCTGACAAGAGACTTATCTCTGTAATTTATAGAAAACTCCAATACCTCAATGACAAAAAGACAAATAATCTAATTTAAAAATGGGTAGAAGACATGAATAGACACTTCACCAAAGACAATATTCAGGCAGCCAACAAATATATGAAGAAATGCTCATGATCATTAGCTATTAGAGAGATGCAAATCAAAACAACAAAGAGATACCATCTTGCCCCAGCACTAGTAGCAAAGTTCAACAAGACAGAAAATAAAAAATGCGGATGAGGATGCGGAGAGATTGCAACTCTCATACACTGCTGGTGGGACCATAAAGTGGTACAACCACTGTGGAAAGCAGTATGGCAATTCCTTAAAAAACTGGACTTAGAAATACCATTTGACCCAAGCATTCCATTACTAGGTATATGAATCCTAAAGAAGTGAGACCCAGGACAAGAACAGACATATATACACCACGTTCATTGCAGTACTATTTACAATAGCCAAAAGATGGAAACAACCTATGTGTCCATCAACTTAAGAAGGATAACCAAACTATGGTACATACACACAATGGACTACTTTGCAACCCTAAAGAATAACGTAGAATCTGCAAAACACCACATAATGTGGATGAACTTGGAGGACATTATGCTGAGTGAAATAAGTCAATCACAGAAGGACAAATATTGTATTAGTCCATTATTGTAAAAAGTCAAGGAAATGTTTATATATGAAAGGAAATTTTCTTTGTTGGTTACCAGGGGTAGGAGGGGAGGGGAGGGAACACTGTTAGATAGGTAGAGACAAGTATTGATTTGTGTGAAGAGTAGGGCAAGGTACCAGAGGTGATCAACACGGTGGCATTGAGGAAGAGGAAGACATAGAGAGGTACATGGTAGGTACACACAACAAAGATGAATCCTTTTGCACATATAGTACTGCATTGTCTGTGAAGGCAAAAGCAAACATGGATATAAGGGTGGGTAGATAGGTGGACAGGTTGAACTATTAGGTATGTCTATGCAGGGAGGAGTGTGCCCAAGACCATGTATATAGGGTTGGCAGACAATGTTTCTACAAGTGTATTGCTATGTTCTGTATAGTAGAGCTGACAGGGGACCAGGTTGTAGTCACTTCTTGGCCACAGCTAGCTACCCAGAGGGAGCTAGTAGTTGCACCTCTGGGCTCGGGGCCATAGTCGCAGGGGACATCAAACTCAATTGGCATAACACAAAACATTGTTCCACATCCTACTTTGGTGAGTAGCAACTGGAATCTTAAAAGCCTGCAAACGGTCATCCAGATGCAGTGATGGATCTATGCTTGTCCAGAGCAAAGAAGAATGAAGAAAACCAAAGATTCATGGAAACAATTAGTCCAAGCAACTGGTACACCATGAAATCCTCAGCCTATACAACTATGAGACCAGAACTAGATGGTGCCCAGTTACCACTGTCAGCTATTCGGAGGGGGATTTATTTAGAAGATCCTGGATAGAGTGGGAGAATGATGTGGAATAAAACTCAAAATCATGTTTTTTTTAAAAATTGAGGGACCAGGTTTGCTGGTCTGATAGAGCCTGATGAAACCACTGAGACTATGGCCCGTAGCTGCCCTTCAGGTCTGGAATTGAACCCACTCCTGTGGCTTCCAGCCAAACAAAAGACAGGCATATGAGGTAAACATTTACACCAGGTAGATACACTCCTTGGAGAGAACAATCATAGGAGAGTAGAAGGGCTTTGTATGCTCAGGGAGACAGCTCAGGGGGCAGGAGTGCATGGAGGGAAGGATACAGGGAAGAAGTAACTATGGGGAGGAAGTGGGAGGGGAGCTGTTGCATTGTGGGAAATTGTCAATGTCGTGAGACAAAGTATATGTGTACTGTTGTATGGAATGTGAATTTGCTCTATAAACTTTAACCCAAATCACAATTAAAAAAAAAAAAAGTGGAAAAGAAAAACTCTGATCAGGCTCCCTTTTAGATGGTGAAGTACAGAACCCAACAGATTGAGAAGTCTCACTGGGTCTCTTCTCAAATCCTGTAAAGCACAAACAGAATATAAACTAGTTAACCCACCAGTTGGCTTCAAGTCGATGCCAATTCATGGTGACCCCCAGTGTGTCAGGGTAGAACTGTGCTCCACAGGCCCTCAGTGGGTGATTTTTCAGAAGCACATCACCAGACCTCTTCCAAGGCACCTTTGCATGGACTCAAATCTACAACTTTGGGTCAGCAATTGAACACATCAACCATTTGCATCACCCAGAGACTCTATTTTGTGTTGCTTTTTCAGTAGTATTTATTTAATTGAACAGTAAATATTGGTAATTTGGAAATTCCTGATAATTTGGAACTAAATATTTCATGTTTATTTATGTATCTTTTCAAATTAAAGTCATTATTTCTAGAAGTTTGGTATCTTAGGAAAGAGGGCTTACACAAATATCTGAATTCCGTTTTTCATATGTATTTAACACAGTGTTTCATTAACAATAATCATGCTTTTTATTTTCTCACATTCTCATTTTTTCTTGCTCTCTCACTCATAGCTCATCTAGTATAGATAGTTCATGGTTTTGCCACATGGTCAACTCCAAGCTTTGTAAAGTGGAAGGCAGTTTGATGAAATATCTAAGAAGTGCCATTTTTATATATAACATAATCCCCAAGTAACCTGCTTTCTCTCACCTTGCTGTTCAGTTGTCATCTTTATCATCTACCATTTTTCTGCCTACAGGAGTTAGGATGTTTGGTTTTAGTGGGGTTGTGAGAGAGATGGAGAAATTCTGGTTCTGGCTGTGCCGAGGCCTGTCTTTTTAAGCCACATTCTCTTACTCTTGTAAACTACCAATTTGCTCCTTTCAGTTTCTTTCCTGACCTGTCAGTACAGGTTCATTTTTTAGCTTTCTGTTACTAAATCATTGTGCATAATTGCTGTAACATTTTACTGAATCAGCAATTTGCTATTACATTTTGCTAGTTAATAACTTAATAGCTAATATTCTATCAAAGCAAAACCAAACTCACTGCCATTGAGTCAATTCTGGCCTATAGCTACCCTACAGGACAGAATGGAATTGTCCCAGGGGTTTCCAAGGCTGTAAATCTTTATGGAAGCAGACTGCCGCATCTTTCTTCTGTAGTGGCTGATGGGTTTGAACCACTGACTTTTGGTTCATAGCCTAATGCTTTTAACTACTGCAAAACCAGAAGTAAATTATGACAATAATTTTTGTTAAATAGGTTCCTTTATGGATTAGCCCAAGTATCTTAAATAAGAGACTTGATAGAAAATCAGATTTAATCATCTTTGTTAGAGTACTTTCCGGTTTACTTGTAAGTTTGTTGTTGTTGTTGTTATGTGCCATCGAGTCGGACCCGACTCATAACGACCCCTTCTTGGGTTTCCGAGGCAGTATCACTATGGAATAGATTGCCCCATCTTCCTTCTGAGGAGTGGCTGGTGGGTTTGAACCGCCAGCCTTCTGGTGAGCAGTCAAGTGCCTTTAGCCACTATGCTACCAGTAAGTTTAGAAATACCAATTTTGAAAGAATCATTTTTATTTGAATAGTTGATATGAAATTTCACTAATTAGACATTATTTTGACTAACATTACCATCTTCTCTTCCCATTTAAGCTTTTAGCTGGTCTCCGGTTCAGTGTACACCAGCAATCAGAGATGGATACATCTGTGAAATTTGATTTGCAAATCCAAAGGTATACATATTTTATTAGCTTATAATCACTATTAAGGAAATATTATTAGTTATAAACTTACTATGTTATGTGCTTTAAATATTATAGAACATAAGAAACTGAAATTTCAGTACTTGGTTATAGCATTGTTAAAGTCAATATTTATATCATGAGAATAATTACACTGTCAATTTTGAGCTTGTAAAACAAAATTTCTATACCATTAAACATGAATATTAGACCTTATAGATGGATGACTTCAAAAGAGGAAGTCAAACTTTTGATCATCTTGGAATTAAATCCCAATGAAAATAATTACTTTGATTTATAAATTTTTCATTTCCTTGGTATTTTTAATTTGTTCATTTTTAATTTCACTGAATTTGCCTCTTATGATTTTGATGATGATTGTGTTAATTCAGTTCTAAGTATATATTTTTTTCTTTTTCAGTTCCAATCTTTTTGACAAAGTAAGCCCAATGGTATCTTACAAAGCTGATCTTGCTGTTTCAGCTGCTGTTGAGATAAGAGGGTCAGTATGATCACTAAGTTGAGTATCTCATTCTCATGATTGCTTTTTAAAAGTAACTACTAGGCCCTAGCTTCTTTCTGATAGTTGCTACTTCACGTTTAGTGGTGGTTTTACTAAGGCTGTAGCTTCTGTAGAGAAAAGAGACTTTTATATGTATATATGTGTCCCAAAGCCCCTAATATTTATCTGGTGAATATCTGGGAAGGAATTTGACATGGTAACCATCGGTGCAAAATAAGTTTATTGAACTTTTACACAAATTAACTTACCAACTCGCCTGTCAATATGTACATTTAATAAAGAGTAGTTTGTGTGTATGTGCATGTGCATACATACACGTGTAGATATTTTTCCTTTGAGAAGCATGTTATATTTTTTTTATTTCTAATTTTATTCATTTGAATACCAGGTACTTTTGAAAATGAACTGACTATATCATTTTGATATTCATGGTAGGTTTTCTTTGGTCATTGTTTAGAGTCTCAAGTCCTGATCATATATTTCTTCCGATTCCAAACTGGGAGCATGAGGAGAACCCTGAGACTGAAGAAGATGTTGGGCCAGTTGTTCAGCACATCTATGAGGTTTGCAGCTGTTGGATATAAATGAAACCTAGTCAGAGAGCCACTAAAGGCTACTTTAAACAGAAACAAAATCTATATACTGTTTACATAAACTCTGCATAGCATAAATACTTCTCAGATGTTTCTTTGAAGTTTGGCCCTATTTATAAATTCATTTTTATTAGTCAAGTACCTTCAAGTGGTTAAAGAAAGCAATTTATATAAATTGTTTTTTAAAACCAATTACTTCTTCTTGAATAAAGGTAATAAATATATCATGAAGTATTTTCACATGGATATTTTACAATTATGACAAAAATTTGAAAATAGTGAAAAATCAAAATTTTGTTTCTACTGGATCAAGTTTTTCTTTGCCTTTTGTCAATATTTTAAAAATATTTTCTTTAGCTTTTCATCCTGCAAACGTTTTCTCAGATAAATTTTGAGTTTGATCTTTTTTGTTTAATGATAATCACCTTGAAATATTAGAAGAACTGTGGAATGTCTGCTATTTCCTGTTACTAATGTAATTGCTAAAATTAATTAGGAGAATGATAATAAAATAGATTTTTGCCCAAAGTATGCTATATTTTCTTTTCCTCATTAGCTGAGAAACAATGGTCCAAGTTCATTCAGCAAGGCAATGCTAAATCTTCAGTGGCCTTATAAATATAACAATAACACTTTGTTGTACATCCTTCAATATGATATTGATGGGCCAATGAACTGCACTTCAGATATGGAGATTAACCCTTTGAGAATTAAGGTAATTTGCTTAATAGCAGCTCTTTATTGTGATATTTCATTTCCTTTTTTTTTCTAAACCTATAAAGCAAATGCATGAAATAAAGACAACTAGTTTAATACACAAACTCACCCAGTAAAAGTACTCTAATTCTTACTTAGCACACTGAAGTTTGGATTATTTGTATAACGAGTAAGGATTAATTCTCTGAATGTAATTCTGTAGTGTCTCGTGAGCTTCAGCACGTAATCTTTAAGTGACTCAGTTTGACCTTGACTATCTCATTGAGGTTTATTCAATGTATAATATTCTATTAAGGGAGGGCAGTGGGATTCAGTGGTAGAACTCTCGCTTTCCATATGTGAGATCTGGAGTCAGTTCCTGGCCAGTGTAACCCAAGCACAGGCGCCATGCATCTGTCATTGGAAGCCTGCATGTTTCTGTGATGCTGAACAGGTTTCAGAGAGCTTCCAGATGAAGATGGTTTAGGAAGAGAGGCAGCCCTGGCTCTCTGCTTCCAAAAATCAGCCAATGAAAACCTTGTGACTCATCATGGTCCTGTGTGTTGTGCACGGGGTCCTCACGAGCCAACTCAACAGCAGCTAACAATAATAAGGACGCTGTGGAATTTCTGTCTCTGAGATAAGATAAAACATTTACTTTCTTTTTTGACTTACACAGACTAGAAAAATGTCATTATATGTAATTATATGGAACTGGATATTGTCATCTCCATCCTGACATACATTTGGATAGGAAGCTATCCAAGCTATTCACAACATTGAATAAGAAAAATTAAGAAAATAAAAAAAAGTAAACTCATGATTGACACTCCTCACAGATGTAATGTGTGATTTCAGACTGTTTTTGTATGTTTCATCAGTTTCCATTCAGCTACACAAGGGGAGAAAATCAAGGTTAGGCAGAGGTAACTTCTGTCTACAGGACTCTAAACTTTATTTTCTGTCATAACTAAGCTTATTTTTATTCACTACTTTTAATAGCTGGATTAATGTCAAACTGTAAGTGTAAAAACATTTCCTATTGTTATTATTACCACCATTTTATTAATGCAATCCTAGGTCTCAACTTCACAGACAACTGAGAAGAATGACACAGTTGCTGGGCAGGGTGACTGGAACCATCTCATCACTAAGCGAGATCTCACCCTCAGAGAAGGGGATGTTCACACTTTGGTAAGTGCCATTTTAACGACACACACTTTAAACATTTTAAAAATGTGATTATAAGATTGATGCCAAATAACATATTTCAAAAATAACAACAGCTGTTCTCATAAGAACTACATATATTTTTATACCATTCAATGTTCTTACTTTCCTTGTAATCAAACTAGTCTCACTTTTCCTTCAAATGATCCATCTTTGTAGCCTGCTGATAAAAATACTTAAAATTTTCTGACTTGTTTTCTGCCTGCACTTTTTAATGACCTCTTGGTCTTGCCCTCATGAGCTTGGTGCCCACAGGGTGGGGTAGGTCTTGACAAGGGCTTATGGCAAGTCTGGGTCCTCTGCCTTCCTTAAATAAGAGGGTATTACTCGTCTTTACCAGGGAGGAATGGGCTACTTCCTTGAGCCAGAGGGTTCAGGGTAACGTGAAGTTTTAAGAGCAGAAGCCCAGATCTCACCATCTTAAGTCTCATGGCCCCATTCTTTCCCAGTCCAGGTTTTGACTTTAGCAAAGCAGACCTACTAGAATTTAGAATTCAAGCTTCTCTGGAGCTCTGATACTTTTATAATTAAATTCTAGACTTGATCCTGAGCTTTTTAAGCCCTTGTCCTACAAGATGGCTTTATCAGCTGTCTTACATTGCTGATTCATCACCTTCAGCCTTTTATGACCTTTCTTTTTTTTATTGTGATGAAAACATATATAACAAATCATAGGCTATCTCAGCAGTCTCACAGGTACAGTTCAGTGGCAGTGATTGCTAGTTGTGCAGCCATTCTCACTACTCTTTTTCAAATCATTCCTCTACCATTAACATAAAGTCATTGTCCCCTAAGTAAAAACTCCCTCTGGTAACTACTAATAATCTTTGGTTTCTATATATTTACTTACTTCATTCAAATGAGATCATATAATATTTTTCCTTTTGTGACTGTCCTATTTCACTCAGCATGATGTTTCAGGGTTCATCCATGTAGTAGCGTACCTCAACACTTCATTTCTCTTTAAGGCTGAGTAATATTTCATTGTGTGTCAGAACCACATTTGGTTCTCTATTATGTTAACAGACATTTGTTTCTACCCTTTGGCCGTCGTGGAAGCTGCTTCAGTGAACACTGTGATGTACAGGTTTCTGTTTGCATTACTTCCTTCACTTCTAGATATAGACCTAGGATTGATACTGCTAGGTTCATATGGTAGCTCTGTGTTCAACTTTTTAAGGAACTGCCGAACTGTTTTCCACATGCTGTACCATTTTACATTCCCACCAGCAACAGTTATAGTTTCTCCACAGCTTTGCAAACATGTGTTGTTATCCTTTTTTTGATCATTGACATTCTAATAGGGGTGAGATGGTATCTCATTGTAGCTTTGATTTGCATCTCTCTGATGGTTAATAATGTTCAGCATCTTTTCATATAGTTATTGGCCATTTGAATATCCTCTTTGGTGGACTGTCCAAGTCCTTCGCTCATTTATTGATTGGGTTGTCTTTTTGTTGTTCAGTTGTTGAAAATTTTTATATATTTTGGGTATTAGACTCTTATTCAATATATGGTCCCTAGAAACTTTGTGTACGTAATCTTTTCACTTTTTTGATAAAGTCCTTTGATGAACAGAAATATTTCATTTTTATGAGGCCCCATTTGTCTGTTTTCTTTTGCTGCTTGTGCTTTTGCTGTCATATCACATAATGCACCATTAAAAACTAGGGCTTGCAGTCATGCCCCTATATTTTCTTGTAAGAATTTCATAGTCTTAATATTCATATTTAGGTCCTTGATCCATTTTGAATTGGCTTTTGTGTATAGTGTGAGGTATGGATCATTACTTGTTTTTCTGCATGTGGAAATCCCATTTTCCAAGCACCGTTATTGAAGACTCGTCCTTCCCCATTGAATGGACTTAGCGCTCTTGTTAAAAATTGGTTGATCATGAAATCAGGAAGTGAGTCCTCTTACTTTGCTCTTTAAGATTGCTTTAACTGTTTGGGGGCCCTTGTCCTTCTATGTAAACTTGAGGACCAGTTTTTCTATTTCTGTAAATAAAGCTGTTAGAATTTTTATGGGAATTGCACTGAATTTGTAGATTGCTCTGGAGTCTTAATTATATAGCTAGCCCTCTCCAAAAGCTATGTGAGCCCATTATTATTAAAATTATTACATCATCCCTCTCACCAATTTCTTATGTCTGAAATACTGTACCAACTTCAGAATGGGTATGGGACTGGAATCTATTCTCCTCTAACTTTACAAAGGAGGAGGAGGATCAAGATCCACATTAACAACTCAGGGCTGATTCCTGTGAGGTGGTGGTACCACCACCCTCCAACCTTTTTACCAATTCTGATACCAACTATCCATCCCAAGGCACTCTCTACTTCTCTGCTGGATTTGAAATTCATTGTAGTGGCCACAGAATTCAAAGACAATGCTCATAATTATGGAATTTATTAGGGAAGTAACAGGTTACAATTCAGAATCAGAAATCAGGATACAGTTCTTCAATAATGACAGCCTCTTTTCAGCCATGCCACAGGCATGCTTCTCTGCCCTGTGGCTCTCTGGCCTTTGGTTTGCTCAGGCAAATGTTATAAAGCTCTTTTAGCATTGCAAATAGGTGCCCAAAGAGGCACCTCACTCTGCCAGCAAGCCTCTGCCCACGGCACTCAGCTTTTTCACTCTAAGGGCTGGGATACCCACCACTCTGTCTCCTTTTGGTCTCTTGGTTCTCCTGCCTCTGCTGCCATTGTTTGTCTGCTGCTGCTTCTCATAGTCTCTCACCTTCTCAGCAAAGTGTTATAGCTCTTTCTCTGTCTCCTGGGTTGAGGATGTTCAGCTCAGGGATCTCAGCTCCAAAGGACATGCTTCATTCCTGGCTCTTCTTTCTTGATAGTAGCAAGCTCCCCCTTTCTATCTCTGGCTGCTTATTTTAAGGCTAGTGGATGATAAAACTGACCAATTCTCATGTTAGGGCTCCATACACTTTATTTGCAAAGTCCCATCCCCACAAAGGTGTCATGTACCTTATCAACAAACTACCTTATCCCCTTGGTGGGCTATATAAGCACCTCACATTTGCATAATCCCACTCAGTCATCTAGGGGGAATCACAAAGTCACAGAACAAGGCTTGAAGAGCCATATTAAGTAATTCACTGCACCACAATATGCAAAAATGTATTCTCTACTATCTCTAAGGGTTCCCTATCTCAGCTTTTGGATAGTGAAGTGTTAACAGTTGCCCCATTATAGCCTGCCCAAGACTCAGTACTTCACCTACCACTGGTGCTGGGGTCCTCATTGCCAGCTACCACCTGGCAGGTAGTCCAGCTCGAAAGATCTTTTCATAGGCCTGCTCCAGCAACAGCAGTTCCCTGGGAACAGATTCTGAAGCAGGGATTTGCATGTGAGAGATTGACTGTGGAGTATGGGTGAAGGAAAGGAGCCCTGGTGGTGCAGTGGTTAAACAGTTGGCTGCCAACTGACAGGCCAGTGGTTTGAACCTATCAGCTTCTCCACAGGAGAAAAGACCTGCAATCTGCCCCCATAAAGATTACAGCCTAAAAAACTCTTTCAGTGTTACTGTGAGTTAGAATCAACTCAGTGGCACGCATCATGGGAAGGGAAGAAGCAGGAATTGTCAAGGAGAAGTTGAACTTTGATGTGGTTCAAACAAAGGTCTCACCTGACTCCAAGGGAAACTGGAGCTAAGATAGCTCTTCATGGTTATTGCAGTCTAGGGTGTGGTCTCCAGGCTTTGGTATCCCCATACCAACCATTCATTAGATGCAGCTGTCTCCAGGGAAGGTAGTACCTTTGGAGGAGATAGCTCTCCCCGGGTGAATATAGTTACCTACAGGGATTTACCTGTGAGCCCTCAGCAACCAATAATTCTAGTAGTTTGAGAATGATTGCTTCCTGCTAAAGGGAGAAGGCAGGAGCTAGGGCCGGGCTCTGTATCCACCATGAGAAACAAAGTACAACATGGCTCATATTATCATACATGTATTTTAATTTTTTCTCTCTCTTCCTCCCTCAGTTATCTATCTATCTATCTATCTATCTATATAGCATATATATATCTATATAATAAAGATTCACATTATGGTTAGAACTCAACATTCTTTAGGCAAACCCAGAGCATGGTGGCTTTATTAAGATATGAAAACTAGATCACAGTAACTTTGAGGAAAATAAAAATCAATAGAGTGAATTTTCAGTGGTTCAATAACTGGTCACCATTAGCCCTGTAGTAATAATGTGGCATGCTAATGGCCTCTGCCACATTCAATGTTTTTGCAGTAACTTGAAGAAGGCAATGAAAACAAATGTACACTACCTCCTATGTGCCAGTCAAACTGCACTAGACACATCACATGCAGATATATATATCTTATATTACAATATAAGCTATATGAGTGCAAGGACTTTTGATTTTTTTTTTTAATTTTACCATGGTAAATTTATATATCAAAATATATCAATTTATATAATAAATTTATCAAAAATTTATATATCAAACATATATATCAAAATAATTGCCTTATTGTATAACCATTTTATAGTGTCCAGTTCAGTTACATTAATTTTTTTAGTTAACAACTCTATCTCTAGCATCTAGAATGATGCCTGTGATTTAGTAAATAGTTGTGTAATGAATTGATTTAGTACGTATTTGTTGAATGAATGAATATAAAAGATATAGTAGACTTTAGAAGGAAGTTTTTAAGTCCAGTCTACCCTATAAAAAGGAGCTCTGGTAGCATAGCTGCTAAGGCATTTGACTGCTAACCAGAAGGCTGGTGGTTCAAACCCACCAGCCACTCCCCAGAAGGAAGATTGGGCAATCTACTTCTGTAGTGATATTGCGTCGGAAACCCAAGGAGGGGTCACTATGAGTCGGGTCCGACTCGACGGCACACCACCACAACAACAACAACCACTCTATAAAAATAGGTCTGATGAACTATTAACTGTTACATTCCATAGAGTCTATTCCAACTCATAGCAACCCTCTGGAACAGAGTAGAACTATCCCACAGCGTTTCCAAAGATGTAATCTTTATGGAAGCAGACTGCCACATCTTTCTCCTGCAGAGTAGTTAGTGGGTTCCAACCATCAACCTTTCCATTGGCAGCCAAGTGCTTAACTGTTGTGCCACCAGGGCTCCTTAACTGTTAACTAGTATCTACTTCACTAATTCCAGTGAGGAGGAGACCTTGTACTATATAACCAAGTAACTGTTCTATTGTTAAATGGCTCTGAGATTCAAAATTCCTTACACTTTACATTTGTGGATATATTGGTTTTAGTGCATTGTTTCAGCTTTTTGAGAACTTGCAAAACCATGATTTTTAAACAGATTTATTGATTATCACACTTAGGTTTGTGCTATTTGCAAATTTGATGAAGTTTTTATAGTTTAGTTGAAAAATCATATGCTTTCCTTTGGGGTCAGATGTTTCTGGATTTGACTCTGTGTCCCCTGTTATTTGCTTAATAACATTGACCCATTTGCTAATCTTTCTGAGCTTTAATTTTCTCATCAAATGATGGTACCACTTGAAGAATAACATTGTTGTGGTGTCTGCATGTGATGTCTAGTGCAATTTGACTGGCACATAGCAGGTGGTGCACATTTGTTTCATTTCATTGCCTCCTTCAAGTTACTGCAAAAACACTGAATATGGCAGAGGCCATCGGCATGCCACTTGATTATTAACTACTGTAGGGCTACCATGGACCAGTTATTATCAACCATTAAAAATTCATTTGTTGGTTTTTATTTTCCACAGAGTTATTGTGATCTGGTTTTCATGTCTTAATAAAGTCATCATGCTCTGGGTTTGCCTAAAGAATGTTGAGTTCTAACCATAAAAGTGAATCCTTTATTATATAGATATAATAGATCTATAACAAAGCACATTAAAACCAACCCCTTCATAACAAAGAGCAAAAGAGCATTCATAGTCTCAACTCTTAGCCTTTTTCCTTTTAGGCATTATTCCCATAAGACAAGAGAACCTGGATTGTTTCTTTAAATTCCTTTGGTTTTCACATAAAAAGAATAAAATGCCAAATTTTCAAATGTTTAAGTTTGAAGACATGATAGATTGATCACTTCATGAAAGTAAAAGAATTTGTTTTGGAAGGGCTGTGGAATCGCTGAATGTTTGAAGATCGTCTGCCAGGTTGGGCGACTAGACAGAGGAAAGAGTGCAATCCTATACGTTAAGTCTCTCCTATGGACCGAGACCTTTATGAATGTAAGTGGACAGGGACAGCATTAAAAGCTTATCCACTTTTTCAAAGAAATAAGTCCTGACATTAGGAAATAATCTCATTGTTATTTCCATACAGAAGGAAAACCAGAATCACTCATATTCTCTGAAGTCATCTGCTTCATTTAATGTCATAGAGTTTCCCTACAAGAACCTTCCAATTGAGGATATCTTCAACTCCACATTAGTAAGTCATTTATTTGGGGAACTTAAATAAATATATTCAGTTCAGACACCTCAGGTGCTTTGTTTTCTGTTTTTTAATAGTGGCTGTTTAGGTTTTGGGATAATTTTTAAAAATTGAGGTATGTGATAGGATTGTAACATAATTTTATTACTTTACTTCTACCAGGAAATTATTAAAGCTAGAGCTTTCATTTTACTATTGTGACCTATGAATAAAATTTCTTGGTATATGCTGAAATTTTGTGGGAGAAATTCTAAATTTCTGAAATTCTCCCTACAAAGTTTACAAACTTGGAAATGAACTATAATAAGTAAAGACATTTTGAAGATCTTCAATATAAGAATTAAAAATAAGATCAAGTCATTGTAAACTGGTTTGAATTATTTAAAAATAATTTCTGAACTAATGAGCAGTTAACCCACCAGGAGGAGTTTTATGTGTGCATGCTTTTATTACCAAATACATGATCACTAAATTATCATGTTGTTGTTATGTGCCGTCGAGTTGGACCCGACTCATAGCGACCCCTCCTTGGGTTGCTGAGGCAGTATCATTATGGAAGTAGATTGCCCAACCTTCCTTCCGAGGAGTGGCTGGTGGGTTTGAAATGCAAGCCTTCTGGTTAGCAGTCAAGTGCCTTAGGCACTATGCTACGAGCTCCTAAATTATCACATGCAAGAAAAGAAAATCATGTGAAAACCATTAAAATATAGGCTAGTAGACATTCGTATACTTGTTGAATAAGTGAATGAGTGATTTTTAAAACTCAAATGTGTTTCTTCCCCCACAGGTTACCACTAATGTCACCTGGGGCATTCAGCCAGCACCCATGCCTGTGCCAGTGTGGGTGATCATTTTAGCAGTTCTAGCGGGATTGTTGTTACTGGCTGTTCTAGTGTTTGTAATGTACAGGGTAAGTAATGGAACTAGGAAAAATGAAAGAAAGGGGAGGAATGCAGGAAGGAGAGGGAGAAGGTGAAGAAGGAAGAGCAAGGCCAACATGGTAGCAAAGATCCTATAACGTTGATGCATCATGGGCATTATTTATTACTTGAAGCAAGAGTAATTGTAATGTCACTTAAATTTTCTTGGTTATGAAATAGTCATTCAAAAGCACTATTACTATCCTTTACTGATAAGTCAGTAATGTTTGTTTTGTTCTTCAATTGACAGATGGGCTTTTTTAAACGTGTTCGGCCACCTCAAGAAGAACAAGAAAGGGAACAACTTCAACCTCAAGAAAACAGCGAAGGAAACTCTGAAACTTAACTGTGATTTTTAATTTATCCTACATCCTGACCCATTAGAATGACTAACTTCATTACAGATTTAAATTTCCTTTATGAGGAATAAAATTCCAAGGCTGTCCTGCAGTTAATGACCATTGGTGTTAACATAGAATGAAAGCAATATTTGTCAACCTTTTCTTTAAATAAGTTCAGACGTACATTTAATATGCATTGACTAGTGTTTTTACTTATTTAAATGATAAAATTTCAAGTGGTAGTTCTTACTCAATGTATATAAGACAGGTAGTGCCTGAGTTACTACTTTATATAAAATAGGACCTCTTATAATTACTGTATCTTATTTCGTATGTTGGGTTTTGTTCATTATTATTATTATCGATGTTGTTTTAAAGCAATCCAGATTTGGACCTTAGCATCCATATCTTTTGTGCAGGTACTTAACTTTAATACACATTGCACTACATTTGACTCTTCAAATTACTAAAAAGTTTATAGCTGCATGAACTTGGGTTTTAATATCAACTACATGACAGAACTTTTTTTAAAAATGCACAATTCCATCAAAATTCTTTTTTTATAATAGCAAAGGTACAGTACTGTGTTTTGATATGGAAATTAGACACATGCTGTTAAATTTTTATTTATATTTAATCTTTCAACCTATTTTATTGCATTTTAACTTGTAAAGTTCAAGTTCTAGGTACTTAAAACTTAATTGTATTATCAAAACACCTCCTTTCTGTAGCAGTTTAATTTCAGCTAAACATCAAGACACTTAAAGCCATATGGGGACGGAATCACTTCCAAAGTACATTGATTCCATTGTTTTGTTCTGGCTACTTACAATAGAAGGAAGAAGGCATTTTAATTAAAAGACTATATTTGTACTTCTTGATATAGTTGCTTCTTAGTAATAGTATAGTATTATAGATTACAGCAGAGTTTTTAGTTGCTATTAATTTATTTTCTTCCTTTATTTGTATTTTCCCTTGTACTTCCAAAACCGTAATTGAGCAAAGGTCAATTTCAATGAGGAATTTACAGTTATCCTTCTTCCACCCCTCCACCCTCCTACCTCATGAGAAATGCTTGGAATCAAAACTCTTAAGAGCTCATTGGTTTACTTCTAGCAATAGCTAATCACATAGCTATTACCTCAGTTTAAGCAAGGTAATGTCCAAAACCACTCTTAGTTATCAAAGTGATTTTTAAAGGTATTTTTGTAAGAAATTTCTTAACACAAATTGCTTTTCTAGGGTATTTATTAAAAGCTGTGCAATTGGCCAGTTATAGTTTTATACGCCTGTAGGATGGTGACTCCTCGAGAGGGGCATGTGATTTATTCAGTTTCTCAAGGCCTGGGGATGACTATCAGTTTATACCTATTTTTGTACAATTACATCATGTTGTACATTGGAAATTAAGAATTTAATAGCTTTTTAACTGCTGTCCTCATTCAGCAATAATAAATATTTCCCTTAAAGTGACTATTTTTCTATGTTTTAAAAATAATTAAAACTTATCTTGCCATGTCTTGTGTTATAATTCCCTGCATAAGTGTATAAACTATTCCTGTGAATTTAATCATAAAATATAGCTGACTTATACAAGTTATACAACATTAGCCAGACCCTATATTTAGATTTATTAAATTTCAAAATTTATGAATTCTGGAATACAGATTTTTATTATAAAAGATCATATCCAATAACTATTTATATTACCAATGACTTTATAATTTTTTAAGAAAAAATATTTTTATCCTATAGGCAAGTATATACCACTAAGTTGGTCTGTAACAACATTCATCATTCAGCATTCTGTTTTTACCTAGTAGCAGTCACTGCTGAAAATATATCATGGGTAGATGTTCTGGTAGCATAGTGGCTAAAGCACTTGACTGCTAACCAGAAGGCTGGCGGTTCAAACCCACCAGCCACTCCTCGGAAGGAAGGTTGGGCAATCCTACTTCCGTAGTGATACTGCCTCGGAAACCCAAGGAGGGGTCGCTATGAGTCGGGGCCGACTCGACGGCACATAACAACAACAACAACAACAGTCACTGCTGAAAATATATCATGGGTAGATGCTCACTCTCTAACAAAAATGTTCATATTTGTTTTTATACAATCTGTTCCTTTTATGACCTGTATCTGAAGATAAAATCTTGTGTCAGAGCCTGAGCATGTTGTATTTGGAAATTAACATGAAATTTTAAATTGCTTTAAAAAAAAAGCCACTGCCATAGAGTCAATTCTGACTCATACTGACCCTCATTGTGTTTCCAAGGCTATAAATCTTTACAGAAGTAGATTGCTTCCCTTTCCTCCCACAGAGCAATTGGTGGGTTTGAACCACCAACCTTCTGGATAGCAGCCAAATGCCTTACCCACTGCACCACGAGAGCTCCATAAATTGCCTTTAGAAAATGGAATTTTAAGCACTGATAGGGATTTTTTCTTTCTAAAAAGTGAAAAATTATTTATAAAAATATGGTAGAACTATAATTTGAAAGCCAACTCTTTGAGAAATATTTGGGAAAATGTTGAAATGCTTTTTACTTTAAAGTAGCATGTGAATATATTTGATTAAAACATTAAAAAAATAGTCCTAAAAATATAATTTACATTTAAAATATCACCATGTTTGTGATTTACTGAGTTAAAATTCATTGTAAAGTATAACATTCTTATAAACCGAGTCAGTTTTAAAAAATGCATATGAATGAACTAGAGAATATAAATATTTGAAATTGGAAAGAAATATTGATGCTGATTTGTTAATATATGAATTAGTACTTAAGAATTCGTATTTTGCGAAAAGTATGTGAGGATCATTATTTCCTTCTCTTCATTTTATTTTTATGGTTAATTATTAGTATAATTCTGATTAAATTTTCAGTGATTCCAAAGTATAAAACAATTAATCAAAATATTATTGACTGTTATAAAACTGCTTATTCACAGTAAGTTCTCATTAGAATTATTTATATTTATATAAGGAGAAAATTCAAATATTAATAAAAATAAATTACACTAGCTTTTGTAAGAGAACTCTGAACATTTCTGAGAATGAATGATGAACCTAAGAGAGTAATTTATGTGGCAGTATACAGCGATACTGATAGATCAGCTGTTGTTGTTGTTATGTGCCGTTGAGTCGGAACCGGCTCATAGCAACCCCTCCTTGGGTTTCTGAGGCAGTGTCACTATGGAAGTAGATTGCCCAACCTTCCTTCCAATAGATCAGCTAGTTAGTGTAAATCAAACAATTTATATGGACGTTGTTACATTGGAGAATGTTATGCTGAGCTGGGGAAGAACAAGTCAGTCTTGGAATATCTGTGTGTGACCATTGCCTATCTCACAGTCACCTTGTTTGTACTCTTGGATGTCTTGTATATGTTGTTGTTGTTGTTGTTATGTGCCGTCGAGTCGGATGCGACTCATAGTGACCCCTCCTTGGGTTTCCAAGGCAGTATCACTATGGAAGTAGATTGCCCAACCTTCCTTCTGAGGAGTGGCTGGTGGGTCTGAACCGCTGGTCTTCTAGTTAGCAGTCAAATGCCTTAGGCACTATGCTACCAGAGCTCCTAAAACATACTGCCATCAAGTCAGGTCTGACTCACAGCGACCCCTCCTTGGGTTTCCAAGGAGGTATCACTATGGAAGTAGATTGCCCAACCTTCCTTACGAGGAGTGGCTGGTGGGTTTGAACCACTAGCCTTCTGGTTAGCAGTCAAATGCCTTAGGCAGTACACCACCAGAGCTCCTTTGTACATGTAGTAGTTTGATAAATAAGAAAAAATATATATATAATTTTAAAATTGAATATAGGATTAAAAAAGGCATGACATGACCTAATAGTATTTTGGAGAACATCCTTTTAACTTATTGATAGGCTAGTTTCAAAGATAAACCTATGGACATGCAGCATGCAATATGTATTTCATGGTAATTTCTGATACACAATGAACTTCTTGAGATAGGTACTGAATCTTTTATTTTTGTTTTCATTGTTCTCAAGTGCAATATAACAATGTAAGCAAACCTATATAATTTCGAAATCATTATTAATGTAGTAAACCTAATCTAAATGGAGATTATTATTTTTTGTTTTCTTTAATGCCAAGAAGGAGTGATTCTGCTGTGGATATACAAGTGACACTATTTACCCCTGAAAGGTCCATTCTGCATTTTATTTGAGACTGTGCATGAACTATCCCCAACCAGTTTTAAAACACTTTCAAGTATTTTAAGGTAATAACTTGGAGCTGTATATATCAAATTAATATGATATCTAAGTAACATAGAAAGTAGTTTTCTTTGTTTAGCTTCTCTTGTGATCACCCACATTGGGTGAAAGAAACCGAGTGTATTCTAAAATTTGTCATTTGCTAACTTGATTTGAGTTAGTGAAAACTGGTGCAGTGTTCTTCTGACTTTCCACCATGTAACTTGTGACTGTACAATAAAATTGAGCCTATTGTGCCACTTTTGTGTATTAACTGTATACTTCCTTCTGTGATGCTGTTTTGTTTTGCTTTTTAATCACATTAGTCAGTACCAGTTCACTAAAAGCATTGAGCTGAAAAAAGAGGAACTCCTCTCTAATAGTCTGAATTCTCAAGAGTATTAGAAAAAACCAACCAAATTCACTGCTGTTGAGTCAATTCCAACTCATAGCGACACCTCCTTGGGTTTCTGAGGTGGTATCTCTACGGAAGTAGATTGCCCAGTCTTTCTTCCAAGGAGTGCTGGTGGGTTTGAACCGCCAGCCTTCTGGTTAAAAAATGCCTTAGGCACTATGCCAGAAAGGAAACACAACATAAAGCAAAAAAATCTAACAACAAAATACATCCTTAGAAAGGTAAATATATATTTACTTGAAATATAACAATCATTGCTTCTAAACAAACTGAATGATTCTAAATTTTATTACCATTACCTTTATTATTTTTCCCTTATTAGAATGCTTGAAAAATGAACACTTGCTTCTTTATAGATTTTTTTACACATCTGCAATTCTAGAATACAGTCACATGCCTTTAATAATACCAAGCAGCAGAAAAATAATGCATATTACTCTTAGGGTTTATGAAAATAAATTCATAGATTAAAATATTTGTTCAAACATAACATGATGCTTTTCAGGAAAGTATTTTATAACTTTCCATCAACAGACTGATGAATAAGGTATCGATTGTTTTTAAATAAGATATCAATTGTTGTGTTGTTAGGTGCCATCAAGTCAGCTCTGACTCATAGCAACCCTGTGTACAACAGAATGAAACACTGCCCGGTCCTAGGCCAGCCTCACGATCCTTGCTATACCTGAGCCCATTATTGCAGCCACTATGTCAATCTATCTTGTTGAGGGCCTTTCCCTTTTTTGCTTACCCTCCATTTTACCAGGCATGATATCCTCTCCAGGGAATGGTCCCTTCTGGCAACATGACCAAAGTAGGTCAGAAAAGTCTGGCCATTCCCGCTTCCAAGAAGCATTCCGGCTGCACTTCCTCCGGGACAGATTTGTTCATTTTTCTGACAGTCCTTCCTTGGTACTTTCAGTATCCTTTGCCAATACCACAACTCAAAAGCATCAACTCTTCTTCGGTCTTCCTTATTCATTGTCCAGCTTTCACGTGGGTATGAGAGTGAAAACACCATGGCTTGGCTTAGTTGCACCTTAGTTTTCAGAGAGACATCTTTGCACTTCAGCACTTTAAGGTTTAAAGTGCTTACGATTTAAGCACTAAATCTTTTGCCACAGATTTGCACAGTGCAGTACGTCGTCTGATGTCTTGACTACTGCTTCTGCTGATGTGGATTGTGGATCCAAGTAATATGACATCTTTGACAACTTCGATCTTTTCTCCATTTATCATGGTGCTGCGTGTTAATGCAGTTGTGAGGATTTTTGTTTTCATTATGTTGAGATGTAATCCATGCTGCCGACTGTAGTCTTTTATCTTCGTCAGTAAGTGCTTCAAGTCATCTTCAGTTTCAGCAGGGTTTTGTCGTCTACATATCACAGGTGGTTAATGAGTCTTCCTCCAATCCTGATGCTGCATTCTTCATATATTCCAGCTTCTCAGATTATTTGCTCAGCATGCATATTGAATAAGTATGATGAAAAGATAGACCCCTGCCACACTCCCTTCCTGATTTTAAACCCTTGCTCTGTTCAAATGACAGCCTCCTGGTCTATGCACAGATAGCAATAGGTAGTCTTTTTCTGA